TATTAAATACATCTTTTCTCTTATTTAGATTCACATTTATATTTATATTTCTCATAAAATATTCGTAGATGTAAAATTTTTATAATAGATTTAACATTTTTATAATAGAAACTTCAAATATCTTTGAGGCAAAAGAAACACATTTGAAAAGTATCTATTAAGTTAGTTTGGATTCCAATCTCTGTAAGTAGATTAGAACCGACCATCGTGTCGATCGCGGCCTGCATATGGGTACATTTTTCTGCGTTTCTGCGTGAATACGAGGAGCAATCAGATCCAAAAATATGTATGTTATGAACTATTCCCACCCGCAGTCATGTTATATTGTATTACGTAGATCTTGTATGCGGGACGACGTCGAGTAGAGCGTTCCTGCCCTCGACGACACGTCATGAGAAAACGATTCGCCGTGAAATCGCGTTCTCACGAATCATGTGGGTCCACGAGTTGTCGATTAAATGTGATCGCGGGGACATAAGACATTTACGGGGGTGTTATATTTAATGTCTATTACAAATTATATAATTATTTGAGATATCAAAAAATAAGTTACTACTATCTATATAATACTAAAAAGCGAAAATTATCTTTAATTTTACATTTGTTGTTTGTTAGAAGTAAATATTAGTTTATTTTAAAAGTTGAAACTATTTTATAATAATTTAAGAAAAATATTTTTTATCTAACATATTTATGTATGTTACGAAATTTTTACTGTAAATTGAAGTATGTATGATTGTTGATGAATGTTTCTATTGACTGAAATAATATTTGTCTAGAATATTTTAACATTATTTCTAAATATATAATCATTATATTTATTATATATAATTCTTATTTATTTATTATATATAATTCTATTAGAATTAGCAAGTTTTCTAATTGAAGTTTTCTAATTGACAAGAAGATTCGTATTTATCGACTGATTTTAATTGAAGTGCTGAAAATAGCAGATGGCGACACCTAACGACAACTTTAGGAAGTTTCTAAACTTCTTTATGTTTATTATTGTATCTCAGATTGTAGTAGCACAGAATTTATGATAAATATTTATTATTTTTTAAAATGTTATATAAATATTTTATACATATTTTACATAAAACTTTATTTGAAATATTATTAAAAGATAGATACTAAATATT